CTGATTCGATTTTAACCCCACTGCGAAACCTCTTCTAAGGATGCCTATGAAGGGTCTAGGCCCGAAACGTCAGCCTCTCTGCTCCTATGATGCTGCTTGGCCTGCTGTGTTCATCCAGCCCTGCACCTTGTTGTCGAGGATTTTAAAGCATTGGTCAAGGATTTAAGGAGGATTGACAAGAAGAGAGGAAGAGGAATTTAGCAAGGGAATTCCAGAGCAGTCGGCTCATGCAACTGACTACCAGACAGTGAATGGTGGAGTGAGGAGCTTATATGTGTGTGAATATAATGGGAGCGATGCAAGGGGCCAGGATTGGAAAAATTCACAGATCTTGCTGGATTATAGGACCTAAGGAGGTTACAGAGTTTGGGAGGGCAGAGGTGTACAATAGGAGTCATGCAAGCTCAAGGGTCATGGCTACCTGAGGTAATGCAGAGTAGGATGTGAGCTATTGTGTTTTTGGACAAGCTGTAGTGTTTTTAAAAGTCGCCAATTGTGTTTTTGAAAAGGAAGCAAGAATACCTGAGGAGGCAAACCATTTGCAATGTGGAATTCCAAAGTGCTGATAGGGATAGGGGATCAAGAGAGCAGGAGGTGGGTCTCATAGACAAGGTGAGATCAAGGAAAGCCACAGATGAGTTACACATCCTGGGATCAAGGAAAGGGGGACCGAGGATTAGCTTTCACTTGGTGGACCGGGAGAAAACACCAGGTGTGGGAGAAGGTAACACAGACCCAGCTAAAATGATCAACTCAATCTCAACATCTGAAATACAACAGTTTATTTTTGGACCGATCTTTATCTGCAGAGCTCAAAACCCAACATGCTACAGGAGACAGATAGATACAGCTCAGGGATAATCAAATGTTAAAGAAGAAAAGATTGAATGTATCTATAACTGCTGCAACAACACAGTGTCAACCTGGGGCTTCTGACCTTGTGTAACCTTCAACTCTTTCTAATATGTTTCAAAAGGGACGATTAGGCAAATTGTTTTAACATTCCTGCATAACCAACCAGCACAAAGAACACATGCACACAATCTTCACAGCCAGACAGTTCATAGATAAAGCACCCTAACAATGCGTGATGATAATCTTTAACTGATGGAAAAGTACACTCTACCCTCAGAATGACATGCCCAACTGGGTCTTGTGATTAAACTAGAGGACCAGATAATTATTCTTCTACCTTGTCCTTTCATTGAATGCATCCATTTAAGTTATTTTAAAAGGAAAATCTCAAATTCTTCCATCGATGCACACTGCTGCCGGAGGATAATAGTCCCCTATGCTATTAGCAATGCTCTGATCCTGATCTTCTCCCTGATGCTGTCAGGGACAGTGAGATATTTTAACTGTTGGATATCCATCTCAGAGGAAGGCTGGGAACAGTGGAAATTTGGCAGGTGTGGTTTAGGTTTCGTAGAGAACACTAAATTTCACCCAATACCAAATGATCCCTCCAGACCCATTGTAATCCGTTAGGACCTAGCCTATAAACTGTGAAAGGCCAGCAGTCTCAGTACTGAAGACTCCCAGCATGACAATTCTGCAAAATATGAAAGAGAAATGTATTCTCTTTTTTTTGTAGCAGCAAGGTGGTGTTCTGGGCCAGTGGGTAGCGTTGCTGCTCTGAGCCAGATATCCCAGGTTCAAGTCCCATTCTGGGAATTGGTGGCTGGGAATGTTACATTCACAGGTCTGAGGAGCAAGGCATAAATTCTTCCAATTCATGCCAGTGGCAGACAGTAAGAGTGGGAGAGATTCCTGGTCAGCTGTGTGATAGAAAGAACATGGAGGCCTCTGCTATCATTATCAATGGCTCTGGGCTGCAACATGCAAGAAAATGTACATTGTCACAGCCACTTGGATTCCTTGGAGAGGCTATTTGGCTCAGTTGCTTGGACTGATTGATGCTGACTGTCTGGAGTTCAATCCTGGGATATTCGGCTCTCCCCGGCCCTGCACTGAAGATTGTGTATACTGTGGGTTGAACATGGCTTCAGGCTGAGAACTCGAGATGGTTTGCATGATTCTCTTTATCTCGGTGTTAGTGAATCAACCTAAATGGTATACCCTAGTCTATTTGGTATAACCCAGTCTATATGATTGTTCCTGATCTGTAGGGTACAACCCAGTCTATCTTGCAGGAACAAGAACGGGAAAGGCATAGATTTAAATTGATGGGCAAATGAAGCAAAGGGTGATATGAGGAAAAATCTTTTCACTCAGCGAGTAGTTAGAATCTGGAATGCATTGCCTGGAAATGTGATGGAGGCAGGTTCCACTGAGGCATTCAAGAGTGACTATTTGGATAGAAATAGTGTGCTAAAATGGTATGGTAAAAAGGAAGGAGATTGGCACCATGTTAAATAACTGGTACAGGCACAATACACTGAATGGCCTCCTTTTGCATTGTATCAGTTCTGTGATTCTTTTGGCAAGACACTGAGATTGAAGATGGGTGTCTTAATATGTCTCTCCTGACAGTCTATCCCTGATCTGGGATGAGCAGAGCAACGAACGGTTAGGGTTATCTGCTTGAAACAGAATTTTTACTCTGATATCCAATGAAATATTTCACTTTAAAACCCCATTAATGAATTTCTCAATTCAATTTAGAAACACTCACGCAAATTCACTATTCACTCACAGCTTCAATAATTAAAGAAATGTGTTAACACATTATAAACAATCTTATAAAGGGAAATCTGGTGAATGATGCTGAAAAGGAAATCATTTGAGATCAGCCTGTAGAAGTTTGGAGGTAGGCTTGTGTTTTTAATGCTGGCTTGGGCAGCATGCATCCCTGACTTTGACTACCGCAGCTGTTTGATTAGGAGAAATACGGTGTTGACATTCGATCACCACTCCCCCACCCCCGACGAAAGACTCGCCTGATGTGCTCCCAGCAGCTGGTAAAAAATTCATCACTTCGGCAGGAGCAGTCCCCAAGCTCTCAGTGCCAGGGAAAGAGCCGAAAGACACGAGTTTTTTGTCTGCACATGCCCATTTAGATCAGTGATTCTCTCTCTCACACACACAATTATCCGACGTAAGAACAGTCCCTGGAGGAGCTTAGCCTTTTGCTCAAGGGAGAGAAAGAAGGCGCCGAACAAGACAGAAACGAAACTGAGGTGCAGCTAAACTTGAATCAGTTCTCCTCCCTCAAATCTGAAGATGGTGAAAATTCTCCGAGCATGCAACCTGTTGAAATCCCTCAAACGGGGCGCTGCAGTTTGCAGCCGGACTCAGTGGCCAATGTGGAGTTTGGGACGGTCAGGAGTCAGAGTATTCAGCAGCAAGGTAAATGCATTTCTGTTCCTTTCTTCAAGAGGGCTATTTTGGTGAGAACTGCTTGATTCCGGATTTCGGAGTAATTCACTCAAAGGAGACGGTTTGTAATGCGTGCAGTTCTTTTAGTTGCAAACAAGTCCTAGGGGCTATTATTTTGAAAGCAAAGAAACGCACTTCCAACTTAAATGGAGATGCCATTGAATCAGGTTTAATGAATACGTGGTGCGTGTAGCGTCGTGTTTCCGTTCTGGAAGCCACAGGGAGGATATCACTTGGGGCATTTCTTTGACTTTTGGGAGAGTTAGATTTTCTGGTCTTTTCCCTCCCATCACGTCCCGGTAGCAGTGCTGAGAAAAAGCTGCCTATTAAGTCATTTTTATAAAAATGTATTTCAAAAACACTTTTATTCGTAAAAAAAATCGTTTGTACATACATAGTCACCAAAACAGTTTGGTTCTGTACATTCTTTGCCGAGGGAGAACAAAACCCAACGCATTTCTTACTTATGGAAGATATTTTACACGTATCTGAGGCACCGGGAGGGCATGATAACTGAACGGACCCCCATTTAACTTCAGCAGAAAGACCTTAGATAATGGTCTTGCCCCACTGTGCCTTACTGGCAGCTGCCGCAACCTTTACTGCATTCCTCAACACATAGTCTGGAGAAAGATGCCGTGGTCTTTGTCGATGTTCGTCCTGAGCAACTCTCCTGTGAAGCAATGCTCCTTTTGTTCTACACGCTACTCCCTGGGATGCCCACCAAGTCAAACAAGAGGGTATAGGTTTTTAAGGTGAGATGGGAAAGACTTAAAAGGGTCCTAAGGGGCATCTTTTTCACTTAGAGGGTGCTATGTGTATGGAATGAGCTGCCAGAGGAAGTGGTGGAGGCTGATACAATGGCAACATTTAGAAAGCATCTGGATGGGTACATGAATCAGAAAGGTTTAGAGGGATTTAGGCCAAATTCTGGCAGATTGATCTGGATTAATTTAGGATATCTGATCAGCATGGATGAATTGGACTGAAGGGTCTGTTCCTGTGCTGTACAACTTTATGACTATGTTTAAACTGATACTATGAGATTAGTCCAGAGTCAATATTGAAGACTTCCAGGGTAACTCCCTTCCTCCGCTGGTCTGTCTTGCCAGAGGTGATGATAGTGTCTGGGACATACTCATACTCATGGAATCTTACCTTACAAACAATGTCAAGCTGTTGTTTTAACTAGTCTGTGAGATCTCTCTCAATTTTGTCAGGTGTCCCTAGTCTTTAGTAAGGAGGATTTTGCTGGGTCGACAGGGCTGTGTTTACACGTCATTTCCCAGTACCTAGGCCAATGCCAGGTGCTGTGTCCATTTTTGTTTCTTTCTAGCATATTTTTTAGAATGGGGAGCACAATAAGATATTTCATTGGCTGTAAAGTGTTTTAGGGTAACCTGCAATTGTGAAAAGCATTAGGTAAATCTAAGTCTTTATTTTCTCTCATCCCTCACACCATAGCAAAATGCAGTAATGATCCATGTGGTAGTGAAGACATTGGATGAGTTAATTTTGTCACATTCTCACACCATCCACTCTGCTTCATAACCCATGCCTTGTGCAAGCTAAATACAACTATTCCATTCCATTCTCAGGGTCACCTAAGAGTTGAATATTCCAGATGATTTAACCATACTCTGGTACACGTCACTGTTAAATGGTGCCCCCAAGATTAGACATTGTCATTCATTAACAAGAGGTTGACATCTCTTCAGCATAGGTCAATTTGTGTAATATGATTTACGTACTCACCACTGTCCTCTGGAGTCCTACCAATGTCCAAGGTGAAAGAAGAGGCCAGTGACCCTGCTGAGTAAATTCTGTTTCTGAAATCAGTCTCCATTGCTGAGTTTAAATTTGACCTTTATGTTCCTACAATGACAGTAATCTCTGATGCGATGTACAAGGAGAAGAGAGACTTGGCAGAGTGGTGAGAGAGAGAGAGGTTGTTACTGTGTAATAATCTCCTTCAAGCAATCTTGGCTAAACTCAATAGATGGGTGAAGATGTAATGAGGGAAAAGACAAGTTAGTATTTCAGCTCAAACCATTTCCCTGTTCTGATGAAGGTTCCGCATTTCATAGATTAATCCCACCACAGTCTAGTATCTTGAGTTTTCCTTCCAGGATTCAGATTCATTGCAGAATATATTTCTTTACTTTTTGTGCACTAATCAAGTAATATGACAGGCCCTAACTTGATGGACTTGTATTGCAAGAATTTTCTTGAGCCTGACTAATTCACATCATGGGATGGAAAGTAGTGAATAAGATGTACCTGAGATTGAATTGTACACAGCCAGTTCATCTTGATTCCCACAGTGCCATCCTGAAGGCTGTCGATACTGGGGACATGAATCAACCAACTTGAATGCAGTGCAATGTTTGGAAGTGGTTTCGGGCCTGGTGTCAGGGTCTTGTCTGATAAAGCCAAGGCTGCAAATTGCAGGCTCACTCAGTCTGCCAGAACAACAGGGTCTCAGCTTACAAATAAACAAAAGGTCTACTTCTCCCCTAGTACTCCTTACAACCCAGCGTATGCCTGGCCCACTTTCCCTTCCAAAGCAGCATTTGACCTTATGGACCAGTCTATGACACTCAGTTGAGGTCAACTTGTTGAACTTGAAGTCTGACAAGTCTCAGGCAGACCAAAGAGCATCTTTCACTGAGTTGATGGTCCTTCAGGTGCAGTCATAGGGATACACAGCATGGAAACAGACCCTTCAGTCCAACTCGTCCATGCTGACCAGATATCCTAAGTTTATCTAGTCCCTAAGGTTCTTGAGTAGATTTATACAAAATTCCATGCAAGGACTGGGACAAACATTACATTGGACAGACAGGAAGAAAATTGGCCACAAGAGTACATGAACACCAATTAGCAACAAAAAGACATGACCAATACTCACTCCTCTCCATTCACATGGATAAGGAGAACCACCAGTTTGATTGGGACAACACCAGGATCCCAGGGCAGGCCAAACAGAGACAAGCATGGGAATTCCTAGAGGCCTGGTTCTCCATCATGAAGGCCATCAACGAACCTATAGAACTAGACCCTATATATACACCACTGCGAAAGAAAACAGGAAATGAGGTAATCAAATCCAACAGACCCCAGAGTTTAAATACCAGGTGGAAAACACAACAGTCCTTCATTGGAGGCTGCACTGATGACGTTACTCAGCAGGGTAATGAAACAGCTGTGAACTAACAGACCAGCTTGGTGAGTGAACCAACTACAGCATTAGTCTAGTCCCATTTGCCAGCCTTGGCCCATATCCCTCTAAACCTTCCCTACTCATGTTCCCATCCAGATGCCTTCTAAATGTTGTATATGTATCAGCCTCCACTACTTCCTCTGGCAGCTCATTCTATACATGAACTACCCTCTGCATGAAAAAGTTCCCCCTTTGGCCCCTTTTAAACCTTTCCCCTGTCACATTAAACCTATGCTGTTTAATTTTGGACTCCCCCCATCCTGGGGAATAGACCTTGCCTATTCACCCTATCCATGTCCCTCTTGACTTTATAAACCTCAGCCTCTAACGTTCCAGGGAAAATAGCCACAGCCTATTCAACCTGTCCTTACAGCACAAACCCTCCAACTCTGACGGCATCCTTGAAAGCATTCGGAAAAGATTTATAAGTTTCATAAAATCCTTCCTATAGTAGGGACACCAGAGTTGCATGCAGTATTCCAAAAGTGGCCTATCCAATGTTCTGTACAGCTGCAATATGACTTCCCAAGTCCCGTACTCAATGCACTGACCAGTAAAGGCAAGCCTACCAAATACCACCTTCACTATCCTATCTACCTGTGACTCCACTTTCAAGGAACTAGGAACATGCATTCCAAGGTCTTGCTGATCAGCAACATTCCCTAGGACCATACCATTAAGTGAATAAGCCCTGCCCTGATTTGCCTTTCCAAAATGCAGCACCTCACATTTATCTAAATTAAACTCCATCTGCCACTCCTCGGCCCATTGGCCCATTTGATCAAGATTCCGTTGTACTCTGAGGTAACCTTCTTAAACATGGGCAAGGAAACCTCCTACCATATACAGTCCTCCCTTGGCTGATGAATTAGTCTGTCCTTCATGTTGAACAACACTTGGAGGAAGCACTGAGGATGGCAAAGACACAGAATGTACTCTGGGTGGGGATTTCAATGTCTGTCACGAAGAGTGGCTCAGCCGCAGCACGACTGACCAAGTTGGTTGAATTCTAAACGACAAACACACAACAAAAAGCTGTGGATGATGTAAATCTGAAACAAAAACAGAAATTCCTGGAGAAACTCAGCAGGTCTTTGCAGCATCTGTGAAGAGAAAACAGAGTTAACGTTTTGAGTTCTATGATCCTTGTTCCACTCTGCCAGACTGCAGGGAGCAAGCGGGATAAACATACTTGCCCTCATCCTTACTAATCTGTCGGCCTGGAAGAAGATACTCCACAAATATTCCCATCGTCAGTGATGGAAGAGACAACACATTAGTGTAAAGGGCAAGGCAGAAGCATTCACAGCAATCTTCAGCCAAAAGTGCCAAGTAGATGATTCACTTCCACCTCCTCCAGTGGTCCCCAGCATTACAGATACCAGTCTTCAGCCAATTCAATTCACTTCACTGCATGTGATTAGCAAGAAATGGTTGAAGGCACTGGATACTGCAAGGGCTATGGGCCCTGATGACATTTTGGCAATAACACTGAAGATAGAACCAAGAGCTGCTGATGCTGAATATCTGAAACAAAAAAGAAATTGCCAGAGAAACTCACCAGGTGTGGTAGCATCTGCGGAGAGAGAAACAGACTTAATGTTTTGTGTCCATTATGACTGTTCCTCAGATCTGGTGACCTGTCCTCCAGAACCTGCTGCTCCCCTAACTATTCCAATACAGGTACAACACTGGCATCTACATCGTCGGCAATGTGGAAAATTACCCAGGTGTGTCCTATACACAA